CTATAATAAGCCATACATAGAATCTGACTCTTCAACCATGCAAGTCTTGCTTCAGACTTAAACAACGTTATTATTGGCAAAAAATATGTCTTATCTGTTTGAAACATAAATAGAAAGCTTGGAGGGATTGATAGATTGTAGATTTAGATCCTTCATTCGCCAATTGTTCATTACTGTTATCAACAGTTACGAAATCTTAACACTTTCCTCTTCTTCAATGCCACTTTCTTAAGCATGAACATTTCGGGTGCCTATTGATTAAAGGTTTAACTATCATGTTCTGCTTTCGGGAGTGCTAACGAGACCTCTGAAATTCGTCATTCTTATTGTGTACTCGATTCCACAGCATATAATCATTGCTATTCTATTCAAACTCATCAATGATCCATTACGATACTAACAAAACTCCTTCATATGGATTAACTTACCAGTCGGACAGAAAGAAAACCAAAACACAATAAAATACGACTAAACGAGTCAGACACAAAACTCTAAATGAATATAATACACGAAGTTAAAGTAAAGCAAGTAATGACTTAAATTGGGACTCTATTCAATTTCAGAAAGAAAAGCAGACTGATTCATAGTAACACACTATCATTAAGAGAGACGCTGGAGAACTATAACACAGTGACAAAACATCATACATGGAAGAAAACGTAAAGAAAATGAGTGTAAATAATTACGACACATGAACGCAAGGTAAAGTAAAAAATTGCCAGTATTGGATCACTTTTGAGTCGAACCATCTACACTTCTTCATCGAGACTCATACTTACGAAAAGTGATGGGAGAATTACAATGAAATAGCCTATCGTGAAATATCAAGCTAGAATACAGTTCTACATAATTATGGCATAAGGACTGTACAAACAAATAATTAGCTCATTGGAAGCTTTTCTTCAACTATGTCAAAGGAGACTGATTCATCATAATTCATGCTTCGCAGGGCAAATAGAAGAGAACTAAAACACTGCGGGAGACCATTGAAAACAAAATAATAGTTTCAATTCATTGTGACATAAAAATAGAAGAGAACGAGTAATCATTCTTCCAGAGAACCTTTTTAATTGCACTTCATGTATTCAAATATCGTGACCTTCTACCTAGAAAAGAAAAAAACTAACTATTATATTACACTGAGAGAAAGAAAAATAAATTCTTTCTCTTTGCCATCAGCAATACATGGCATATCATTGTCATTGATTAGTTTCTTTGCTTTTCGCCGTTCTTTGCCTGGAATTTTGTGCCTCCCATTGCATTACGATGGCCCAACAAATTTTAAATCAAAGCATCGACTGAAGTGTATGCAACCGTGATGGCATCGATGCATTACTTACTGCATGTCCTTTTTTCTTATATACTGGGTGTTGCAAAAGTTTTGCGACATTTTTCATTTCGCATACAGCTCGATTTGACAAAATGATAAAATCTTGTTTTATTTTTTAAAAGATGCGCCATGAAAATCTCTACAAAAATTGTATGAACAAATTCCTATTGACTTGCTCTGATGGTTCTTTCCATACTCAAAATGAAAAAGCTACATGATAGTGCTACTTCCAAGAGAGAAACAGCGGATTTCAGTTCATTGAAGTCCAATGAAATCCATTGAAGTCCTGAAGTTCGCTGTTTCCCCCTTGCCAACAAGTCTTAAAATAAAAACAACTCGTATCTGAGTGGCTTAGACAAACAAACAAACTTTTATATTTCTCACGTTTTACCCTTTCTTTCAGAAAAGCAAATAAAACATACTTGACATTTGGTCTATCTCTAACTCAATTGGGCTCATAAATTTTATCTTATGTTGCTAGCGCTTTTGATGATTGTTTGTTTTGTACAAATAATCTTTGTTGGTTCATTTTAATTAAATGCTCAGAGTCTGTAAGAAAATGATGAATGTAAATTACAAATTGCATTGCTCATTCATTTTATGGTCGTTGAATAAGAGCAAAGGGAGACAATATGCGAAAGAATGAAGGAAAAATAATGCATCTTTTCAGTTGGCCAATACAAGAAAATCAAAGCTTTTTTCGAATCATTAATCAGTTTTTACAAATATTAACAGACAGATAAAATGTGATTAATATAGAAAATATCTGCAATCTGGAAACTAGAAAGATTCTAGAAAAACTGACTAATTTCAAAGTTTTCCTGTAAAATCCAGAAGATCTTGAAATTCTGAGAGACACGCATATTTTCACAAGCAGAGCTACTGTCATATATTCAAAACCAGGGATATTATGAGTCAAATGCTGCTGATTAATTGTTGATTTGCAATACCACAAACTGCGTCTTATTCATACTTCACACAAGTACTTCTTCTACAAGAGGGGAGGGGAGCAAAAGTTCTGGGACAAACTTGTCCGTTTTATAGTGTTTTGTTAAGAAGCTATTAGAAGCAAACGGTGATGTCCTGTAATGTATCTAATGGCGACCTCTCATATACTGTTAGGGCATCATAATTGAACGTTTCTGTAGCAAATTATATGAATTTAAATATTAATCCATTGGGTATGGGTGTGGGTGTGGATGTGGCATGTGTGGGGTGTTGGTGTGGGTATTGGTCTTCGCCTTTACCAACATCTCATATCAACATCGCACACACGCCACACCCACAGCCACATCCCGGAATACAGATATGTGCAACCGATAGAGTTTGCCGAGCTCTACGTGGAAAGTACAATGTCTTTGTTGGAACGTTTTGGAGGGACTACCGGGACTTATTTTTTCGGGACATATTGGATTTATTTAAAGTTCCGGGACTTTTCTTTTCTGTATCACACATTATGGAAATATGACGTACTTCGACAGATTTTTTAAAATGAGTCCTAATATAAGCAAATATTTCCTTGGATTCATTCTTTCCAGTGGGCTTAGGTTATAAAATTTTATCTTGACCGCAGCACTTTTGATAAAGTCCAATCACAACGACCAAATTCACAATGAATCATTCATTACCTAACACGTATTCAAAATACATATATTCCTAGGAGCAGTCATTTACATTTAACTCCCTCATATAAATAATTTCCCAGCGGATTCATTCTTTTTCCAACGGATTCATTTTAAACGTGGAGAAATTTATTAATACATCTAACCGTTGTTCTAGATTTTTTTACAGTGAACGAATGGCACCGAATAGCTCAATGGTTACAGTGACAGCCTCTCATTTTGCACAGTCTAAGTTCGAATCCACGTAGAGTACACCATGTGTTGCTTCAGTCGCCATTCTCCAATATTTTAATATACAAATCTGTTAATGTTAAATAATTTTCAGAGAACTATTTCTTTTTTCGGGTAATATATGTAGTACATAGTTAACTCCCATAACACTATCTATTCATATCTCCCCAGCATATAATTATTCCACAACGGATCTATCCCTCTTGCAACGGATTTATTTAAAAAACAATAGTATCCATCCATACCGATATACATTTGTAGAAACATTTTTACAACCGTTAAAAATAATAGCAAGAAAGTTACTTGTGTTGCCAGTTGCAAATACCAAGCATATTAGGATCTAAGTAAAGATTTCAATACCAAAATATCAAGCTTAAAATATTAGCTTCTGTTCACTTTTTTGCATCAAGATATTTGAACTGTATCATATTTCTTCTACACTTGTCGTATTACCCAAAGAAAGTTTTAGAAAAATTATCTTTTCTTTTTTTTCATTGTAATTTAAAAGATCTTATCGAGCTACAACAGAAAGTGATATTTCAACCTGAAATCAACAATTTTAGGCTAAATTCTAAGAAGCCAGTTTTTTTTTCACGTCACACAGAAATATATCAGAGAAAACATATGCAACAATCTACGTTCAATAAAACAGTGTACTTCAAATTGAAACAGAGTTTCATTAATCAGCTCGATGAGCTCTTTCAAACTTCAATGAAAAACAAATCATTTTTCGAAGAATTTCGTTACTCAACGCGTTATATGTGATCAGGAGAAGCATGATAAAATTCAAATGTCTAGATCCGGAAAAACGAACAACAGCTAAAATGTTACATTTTCTGGTTTCACAATGAAAGTTTTCTTTTGATGCAAATATGTTTAGTCTTTTCAACTCACAAAATAAATATCTTCAATGTAACTGCCCCGATGAATAAGCGATGTCTCCTCATCTAACATGCCTATTCGTCGAATATTTCTTCATTTGACACATTCTCTTTGCAAAATTATCTTTATTGGGAACATTTTAGAACGAATCTTCCCTAGATCAGTCTATCTGTCGAATTGTAAGAAACTTCAAGATCTGTATATGCAATCACACCCATTGAAACTTTATTAAATCAAATAATATGACTATTGAACATCATATTTTCAAATATTTATTTTTACTACCCAAATTTATCACAGGACTAATGATCAAGAATTAATTTTTTCACTGCGTATATGCGAATTTTAATTGAAACAGTTATCATATCACTTAAATTGTTTAATCTTTATATTTCTTATAGATGTCAAAAAGTTATCACAAGTGCATGAAAATTTAAAATTCAATCAATCAATGTTATTATGGTCAAGTGCACCAAAGCGTATACAAAGTGGAATATCGTGTTCATCTTCATATGAGTATTCATTTCTTTCACCAATCTTTCTTTTTGATGAATACGTGCTTCCTTGATCTACACATCAAAGTCAGACATAAACCATGAAAAATAAATAACGTTTTTGAAGAAATCCTTACTTTTTTCAATAGGATTCATCAATACTTTCTTCGACGATATATTCACTGCACTGACGTGGCTATTATCAGTTATATTTATATTATCTTGAACGATGCAATTGCCATTATTGATACTTTTCGATGAAGTCGTAGTCGCCTGATTTGATGCCAAACTGTGACGGTTGAAAGTAGTCAGCTCAGTGTTTGTTGAATTGATTGTCTCTTTGTCATAATTGGCAAACAATCCAGTTGATGGAATTTCATTTGGATTTATCGAACCTATAGCATATGAATTCTTCAAATCAAGACTCCAGTTTATTCAACTTTAATTACCGTCGAGCATAACAGTGCTAGTATTTGATTCTTCATCAGCATCACTAACATCAGCTTTACCTAAATAAAAAAAGTTTTCATCTAATTATCAATAACTAAACTATTATTACGAACCATTACTTTCCGACACTGTATGATCTTCATTAAAGTCAAGCTGTAATCGAGAGTATCGATCACCCGTTAAATAATTTAGCACGACTAGTTTTGGTCTTGCTTTATGTGGTAATAATGTAACGGCAGTGGTGCAAGCAATAACCGAATCTGCAGAAATTCGATCATCATCAAATGATGCTAACATTTGTTCAAAACGTTGACATTCGAGTGGATTTGTGATATTCGGCAACCACTTGGCATAAACTATAGCTTTTTTCGTAGAAGAAACAGTTCCATTGTCAAATGCAATAATGAGACCAACTTTTAGTAATTCTTGTAAAACGGATTTAACATTTCCAGAATGGTGCCTGAATACGGAACAGGCTTTATATAATGTCGTTGATGTAAAAATTACAGACTTAAATAACAATATACTACGAACATGTTCACCAAATTTGGACTTGGACTTTTCTAATTTACGATTTACAATAAAACGCTTCATAGCACTATGCTGTGGATTATTAGGACTTGTTGATGTAACACGAACAGGATCATCTGCCAATCGCATAATCACTTTATATTGTTCTAAAAGTGCTTGTGAAATGTTAATAGCCCGTTCAACAGATACAACCGATACCACAAATGTACGTTTTTCATCATAATGTTCACCATATAAGTTTTTAAAGATCTGACATACATTTGATACAAAATCTTCGGAAATAGTTCCGGTAAACGAACCATTTATTCGTAAATACTCGGCAGCAATTTTCCAACTCCATTCTAAAACTTGAACTAATCCAACTATTCGATGTGTCAATTGGATCGTTTTTCCAATTTTAGCCATTAAATAACGATCAGTTTCTGCATATGCTAGTTTAGAATACATTTTGAAAATTTAAACAAAAGATATCAAATTAAAATGGTATGCATACCTAATGCTGTATACTTATTACCAAAATCGACCATCATTTTATCACCATCAACGTCATAATATAGTTCAAAATTTTCAAATAATCCTAAAATAACACAAAACTCTTCAAAAGAGGGAAATCTGTCCATTGTCGGCTTTTTCTTTTCATTTTCTGGCACAAACATTAATGGTGGTGGTCGTAAACACCAAATCGTAAGTCGCTCAAAAAATGTATCAACTTGAGAGCCGTTAGATTTCCTCTGCAAGGCTGTCACGATTACACCACCACTACTTGCTCCCTAAACAAACAAGGAAAAAATACAAATCCAAACAAGAAAAAGTACTAACAACAAACGAATGCTTGAAACTATCCATTTTGCAAACACTGCCTTTCAATTTTCGCATATGACAATCACCATCGAACATTTTCATCATTTCAACCCGTGCTTCAGATTTTACCATAGGCACATCTTTATTTACGAACGGTGATGGCAAAACAGCACCTATTGATGGCAAAAATACATCTGCTTCTTCAGACATCAGCACTCTAATACAACCATTAACCGATGCTATAATTCCGGCACAAGTTGCATCGTTGTATACGGGAAAATTGTTCTTCTTGTCACCAGAATTAGATAGAAACTTGTGTGGAAAATTGTCACTAATAATACGAAGTCCGTGTGATATTAACCGTAACAACTTTGACTTCCCAAAAGCTTAAAAAAACAATAAATACCACAATATTTTGAAATTCTTTTACCAGAACTAAGGAACAGTGCTAAAAAACAATTTTCTTCGAGAGAACTTCACGTTTGCCAGTAGTGCGCGATGCCTAAGCCTTACTCAATCGGAACAATACTCTTCCCATGAGTAAAGCAACAAATTAAACTACAATAGCACAACTAAGAAAAATGCGTAAATACCTATGGTGACATATCTATCTTAGCGTACCCAAACGAGGTACACCCTTTTTTACAATAATTACGAGATTGATACAGTTAAAATATGACTTTTTGACCCCTACTCTCGTAGAATACATCATAATAGCAATCTTGATATGCTTCTAAGCAATCTTTCAACATCATTTCCGCTAACATGTTTTTTCTTCGACACCTATTTACACTAAAACAACAACAATCCACAAAACCTATCTTATTCCTGATTCCCACTCTACACAGTATTAAATAAACAAGTCGTTTCTCTAAAATTCTTCACAACAAAACATCTAAACTAACACCTACAGCATATGAAAATATACCGCAAACAAACAAAGTCTCCTTCTCCTTATCACACTCCAACAATCAAAAAAATCTCATTCTAAGATTAGACACAGTCTAGTCTGCGCTAGAAAACACATATTCAAACCTCTTTCTATCTGAAACCATTCTAAATGGCTAGCATATTCCTATCGACTTGTTGTTTTCAATTCGTCCAATACAAATTTATTCTACCACTCATCTTCAACTATAATTTATCCAAACACAACAATAACAAAAAATAGTCTTACTTCTCAGACAATATTGAACAAAACACAAGTTTCACAACATTCTTCGCTATCATACATAGCATATCTCACCTAATAACGAACGTTTTCTTTGTCACTTCCTGTCAATTCATATAAAACCTCTGTCTATATTCGGAAAAAGTCTCTTCTTCTTGATCTTTCTCATCATCCATCGGCTATCGTGAACAAAGATCAGAAATATTATTCACTTATTTCGGTTCATTTCAATAGACAAGTCACTGGATTTGTATTTTATTAAAAAATATCTTTTTCTCAAACTACTCATTAAATCAAAGCTGTTGCTATCGCTATCTACATTCGGAGAAAGGCAATTATTTTTAGCTTTGTTGTGATAGATCGGTTATTATAACCCAACATCAAAGACTTTCCTTATTTGGACTCATCTCCATGGAACTGGAACCTCACTTCAATTTGGTGAAAAATATTTTATTGCGGAACCACATGCTGTATTGAACAGTTTAATATCTCGATCTATATTGTGAGAAAATCAATTCATTTTTATCTTTCTTTGTATTCATCGATTATTCTCCACGAAGATCAAAGATTTTTTCCTTATCTCGGTTCGTTGTTATTGACATTCAAATGCACGTCTATTTTGTAAGAAAAAGTTTTTTCTTTAACTACATATAGTAGCAAACAGTTTTACAGCTCAATATGTCCTGTGCGAAGGAAAACTCTTTTAATGTTTGTCTTTATACATAGCTTATGCTCAAGGAAAACGAAATGATTTTTACTCATTTTGTGTCATTTCACATAAGAAAATGCTGTCTTCTTCGTTGTGAGAAACAATCTTTAGTGAACCTACATCTTGAATTAAAATATTTTAGTTTTCTAGCCTCTATTGTACAAAAAAAACAGTTTTCGTCAATCATTTCTCTTATATATAGATTGGTCGGTAGCAAAATGGAATATTTTTTTTCTACTATTTCTTATACCTGACATACATGATGTTCTCAATTCGTTAATTTAATAGTTGAGAGGCACATCTTTTTTGATTTGAAGTTCTAAAGCTGTTTTGATGAAGAAACGATTTGTAATTAATTCTTCTTTTGTATAGGTCGGTTATTGGGAACATAGTTAAAATATTTTATCTAGCTTTCAGTATCTGTATCTTAGTAACCATTTCTATACTAATCATTCATAATTTTAATGAGCAACATAATCAAAATACGATGCACATATTGAGTTGCATTTTTAAAACTACGTTTAGTTGCATGGCGTAGTCATACATGAAAATTATCAGACAGGAGAAGAAATCGATTCGTTTTATGGTTTCGGTTTTATTCGGAATATGTCTGCCTGTAGGATTATTGATTGAACATTCCTTTATAGCCATCTATGCAAGGGAATACTTTTGTGTGGAAAATATTCTGAGCTGATAATCATTTATATTGTAGTTTTCGATTCCTAGGAAAATATGTTCAGTAAGATGTTTTATAAATATGATGTTTTCGGAGGGAGTAAGCAGATACTGCCTTGGTATGGGAACGTTTTCCTAAGAGAATGAAGTCGCGTTGTTGCTCGAGGTTTCGTTTTATAGTATGTGCATTGTACTTCGACCTTACGTTTCTCAGCTTTCGGAATGAAATATGAAGGAAGAGTATATGTAAGTAGAAGCCTATACTTACAACTATTGCCAACGAGCAAACTGTATAGATTCAAAGGAAATCTTTCGACGTTTGAGCGCCAAATACCACTTTTTTCAGTACTTGTGGCTGCCACGTTGAGAAGAACTATAGGCATTGAAATCGAATGAATATCACCGTGGTACGCTGCATGGTCACAAAATTCAGCTAAATCCTTGGTAAAATATTCATTTGGTACCAATTGATTTGATAACAATGCAACATGTTCCAAATTTTGATCAAATACATCTGCACCAAGAATATTGCGTGATGTTGTCATGTTTGACGATTAAAATACTTTTGTATGATAAAACTTGTTCAATGTAGGAAAAACGTGCACAAAGACACTTAAATTCTAGAAAAAAAAATGATTTCAATGTTATTTTAGTGATATTTTGCCGTAAAGTAGTTGCCTTATAACTATTGAAAGACTTCCAGTATACCTCTAATATAAAAATAGAAACAAAATGATGAGGTTTGGCATGTGAATTATTATTTCCAAACTTACAATACAGGATGTCATTTTTCGGACGATTTTATTTTTTTATAACTACCTTACAAAGTTAGCTTTTGAGGCACTGCTTGGGCCAAGATTATAGGTAGTAGTCATTTTCTGTTGCACAAGTTTTCTCAGACGATCTTTCCAAATGAGTTATTTTTTGTCACAATTGTTTAAAAGAACTGCCAGTATATAAATAGAAAGAGCAAAAGACGAGGTACATTTTAATAACTAAAACATTCGAAAAGCAAAATATCAATGTAGTGAAAGGTTTATTTTACGACAGACAATTGGCAACGTTCATGTGAACTCTTTATCAATTTTACATAATTGGTGTTTTTCCTCTTTAAATATTATATTCAAAAGACATTCAAGCTCTACAAATTTTTCAAAAAATGACTCCTCCAAACCCAAAAACGTTTTTCGTGAAACCTAACTATCTACTATCTTATGCAACGTATGATACTCTTTTGAATATGATATTTAAAAAGGAAAACCATCAATTATATGATACTGATAAAGAGTTCGCATAAATGTTGTTAATTAGCTGTCATACAATAAACATTTCATTACATAGATATTTTGCTGTGAGAAAGTTTTAGTTACTAACATGTAGCTCGTACTTTGCACTTTCTATTTATATAGTTACAGTTCTTTTAAACACCTGTGAAAAAAAAATAACTCAATTGTAAAAATCGTTCGAAAAAACTTGTCCAACAGAAAATGGCTACTTTTCATTGTCAGATGTCCAATTACACTATGACTCAATATTTACGGGTGAAGTTATCTGTGGATATAGTATGGACACTACCTGTAATCTTGCTTCAAGTCGCGTCTCAAAAGCTAACTTTATAAGGTAATTCGACACAAAAAAAAATTGTCCGCATAATTATTTTCAGCATCGTCTGTTCCTTTTTTATGAATGCTATACAGGAGGCTCTGATCTTTTTGAGCATGCAACTAAAGTACTCATTAAGGAAGGCACAAATCAGATCCCGGCAAAAAGTACTGGAAGAATGCTTTTTGGATTAAATTTCAATTCAGTCATGAGAGGTGAAGCCACCATGATTCCTGGATCGATTTTTCTTTAACTCAAATCTCTCATATGCCTATATTTTGATCTAGCTATTTTTGAATGTTATGAAAAAAATGTAAAATAAACATGTAACAAAGTAGATGTTATGAAATCTGAACTGTATAGTATAACAATGTTTTTCTATCGCCTATGGTTTCTAGTCATCGTTCTATTATAAAACTAATTCACGCCCTTGTTGTATCTGTGATTGTTGTTGTTGTTTTTCTTCTTCTTCCATTGCTTTCGCATTTCTTGATTAACCGTAACATTCTCTTCAGCAGCAACACTTTCAGTTAATGATGTTGTACACTTTGGTTTCATGACTTTCAGGTACCGGACGTCTTTTGTCAATTGATGTCTTGCTTCTTTCAAAGACCCATATAAGGCATTCATCGCCACTTCACTTAATCCAAAACTATTTTGTAAACTTTCTAGTAAAAGCAAATGAGAAATATGAGTCTTTTTCATTGAAAAAACAATATCCAACTTCGAAAGGAAATAGAAAATTGAAGTGCTAACCGAAGTCTCCTCATTTTAGTATTTTCTACGAGAAGCGATTTTTTCACAAATATGATGATGTGTCATACCCTTGTGCAATTGAGAAAGAACTGAAATCGTATGTAGATATTTGTACTACATTTACTAAAATAGGTTTAGATATTAGCCTTACTCTGACTTTTTCCGTTCATATCTGATTCTTAAATAGGCCGAAGTTGACCCGAATAAAATTTCGACTATAGATAAAGTTTTTCAAACAAGTCCACCCATGCTTGGCAAAGAGAATTTTTTTCAACCTTCTAACGGTTTTCGACGGAAAGTGATTTTTCATACGACGGTAGTGGGTCAAGTTACGAGTTTTTACCAACTTTGGATTGAGATAAATTCTTTTGAGACATGTCTTAGACTATTTCAATCATGATTTTGGATTTTTCTGAGTATCTCTGCAGATTCTTTGTAAAAAACATAACGTGGGAATCTTGGAATCTAAGTCGAAGAGCTCTCGTTCGTGACTTGTTCAATCGCATAGGAAGATCAACAACGAAAACATTTCCTATCATTTATTGAGAATATGTTTTAGCATTTCCTGTCGATAATTTGTATCTGTTGGGTACAAATAGGAAAATGTGGTACACAGGCTGAATTCGTTGCTACGAATAAACAGCGCTTCCCACAAAAAGCAGAAGGAACTGTCAGTAAAAAGTTTTCCTAAATCGATTTGCCACTTTTTCTCGATCTTCAATATATGCTGAAAGTTTCGTACCTAGCTTGTATATCCTCCTCATAAACAAGAAGTGAACTAAAAGACGAAGCCACAACCAATATATTGCTTTCTTAGTAAAAATTACTTTAAAATTAAACGAGAGCTACCTGTAATACTTTTGTAACGATCATCATTGTCGATTAAATGCTTACTATCTAATATTTCACCACGTGAATATGTTTTCATTATCATTTTCCTTAAAACCGATCGAATAGACATTAGGTCATGTTTCAATGGTGCCAATCTAGTATTATTAAACATCTACAGACAAAATACAAAACAAAAGACAATAGTAAAACTAGTCAGCAACAACTAGAGTAAATAAAACTTTTTTTGATGGCAATGTAGCTGATGGTGACGTAGCAGTTAAACTTTGCAAACTGGAAGACAAAATTTCCACATCAGTTGAAGCTTTTCCTACAATATGCTAAAATAATGCACACAATTGAGCAGTCAAACAAAAAACGAACTACCAGGTTCGCTAACACTTACGTTTTGAATAGCCATGATAGTGTGTGATAATGGTTTCAACTGAGAAGATATAGAAGTAATGTCTTCACCCAGACGGTTGATATATCTAATTAGATTCTTGATTGTAGTTTCGATACTTGTTAAACGATCAGTTGCTTCTAAAATAAAAGCATGATAAAAATTGTCTCTTTTCTTAGACGTTAAAACCAAGTATTTTTTTTAAATTATCAATAATCGCATTAGCGACTAGAGTAAGACCTCACCTTGGGAACCATAGTTCGAAAATGTTGATAATAGCAACGGCACTTGATCTGTTGTTGAAATACTGTTGTCACTTGCAAAGTACTGTTCGAATGATGCACCGTTTGTTGCAGTATTTGAAACAGTTGGTAATGTCGATGTTGTTGACCATAATATTGAATCTTTATAAGACAGAGATCAATTCGAAGCACTACGTTGACTAGACTAACTGTGTTTTAAAACTCGGAACAAGTCACTATAGATTTCAAACGCAACAAAATAAATAAAGTCTTGAATAAATTATTACAGGCTTTGCTACCCGAACAAATGTGACCTAGATTGCTATTATCAAGGAAAGCAATAGACTGCTTACCAATAAAAACTTTATTCGTTGGATTAGGAATAATATCTTCACATCCTGCCATACAAATGGACTCTGTTGGATCTACGTGCACAAATAGAACTCCTACATTTGATAAAAGTCGGAAAAACTTGGAAAAACATACAATCCAATGGTAATAATGATTTTTCATTTCCAGTATCTTGCGTAATTTGAATACTATGATCAATATTTCTAATAATAGTCGATGGATCTACATCCATTGCAGATAATGAATTTAATGCTAGAGAACTAACATCTAAATGAAAAGAAACAAACGCAGTGCTACTATAATCATTACGATACAAAAATACTGAATCACTTTCTATGAGGTTCTGAGTTTGCGCTAATAAGACTTTCCATAGGAGAAAATTCGAAAACAGTGAAAGATCAGCGATACATTGAGAAAATTCAGTATGGTTTTCTCAGCTATCAAAAAACAATATTAATATAAACAAATCTAAATGCTAAAGTTAATACTGTTGCTATACATGCATGTATCATGATTTATGATGACTGACGCTCCCAATACCAACCTTTCATTCTTGTTTTATCTATTTTAACACTGGAGAAATGTCGCGCGGTATTGACTTGAGCACGTAAAAACTGGCCAATTATTGACTACTCTGCTGAAGAAAGCCATACTCGCAAAACTTTCGTCATATCGTTCTACTTCGTATCTGTTTGATCTCAATAGTATTAAAGATTGAAGCCTTTGAAATACATTTCAGTTGTATTTTTTTCGAGCTAGCTCACTCGTTAAAACTACATCACTGGAATGATCCTTACTTGTTTGAATTATGTCTCGGCAGAATCCAGAATTCTTTTTGTCCACCTTTTAGAACTGGATTTAATACTTTTTTTCTTTCTTCTTTTCACTACAATTAAAAAAATAGTTAAACATACTCTTAATACATCGGTAGATGACAAACTTGTAATTTTAGCATCTTGATCACTTATTAGCTGATCATTATCATCATCTCCAAGATTTTGTTCTGATACAGATGAATATTGAATTTCGGTTGAACAGCCATTAATTACCATTAACAGTTTATTGCATAGAGATTTAGGTCCTTGAAAAGAAAACTCCTTATTTGTCTAAAACCTTGGTTTGTTCAACAAGCTTCTTGAGACTTACCAATTGTTAGTAATTCCCCATTAATAACTTCATCCTCAGCCGTGCATTTAACATTATCATTTTCAATGATGCATTTGTCTAAATTTGCCATCATTATCTGATTATCAAGCACATTTTTGAACAAAACATGACTAAGATTATAAATTTGAAGATCCATAACTTATCTACAAATAAAAAAATGCAACAATCTAGGGATATTAGACAATGAAGTCCATCCGGTTTAGAAAATGACGTCATATTAAATTCGACAATATTTTCAAAGATTATTTATTAGCAGCATATAATGATAAAATGCATCACTTACTAGTTTTTCTTTAATTAGTACATTATTTTAATGTTCTTATAAATAAATACCTGCGGTAAAGTTTATTACCACTAATATAACCAACCAATAGTAATTATCATTATTACATTGATATTTAATAAAGGATTTTTGAAACCATTCATTGTTTAGATAAACTATTCAGGCTCATAATGCACATCTACAATAGCAGCGACAAACAAACCACAGGAACAGCAGCATATTGAAAAACTGAACTTACTTCATAGAACACTAAGACAGAAGAAGTCTTGTACGTTCCTATGCTGTTTGGTCTTGAATATTATCATCAGAAAGAAAGAAATTAATCATACGCATAAGTCCAAAGTACTTCAAAAAATATATAAACATCAAGTTAAGCAATTGCTACTCTGACGTAAAACTTATTCCTTAAGTAATCGGACGATTAAATGCATGTATATACATGTATATATATATTGACGTATCGCATTGCTCATCTGGCAATTTCTGTTCTATTGGACTACGTGAGATAATTTTAAAAAAAGAATTTCTTATTTATCCCTGTTCAGTTGATTCGAAAATTCACGAAAAAGTAAAAAAGAATTTTGTAGAGAAAAATTTATGACAGCGATAAGACTTTACAATCTAGATACACAACAGGATTTGAGCAAGAGTTTAAAAAATGAAACCACATGAAATTGAGTAAATAAAATACCTTTAACGATATCTTTTCTCGACATTTTATTTGATATCGTAAGGAAAAATCTAATAAAAATTTATCGAAAATAACTATGCATCAGATACCACTGACTATGGTATTTAGACAATAAAATTGACTTTTAATATTATGACTACTTGCAACAATTTAATTCACTTTAACATCATAATGATAAAGCAATCATGTGATGCAACGTCCACTTTTTTTATCGCCAAATACCCTGCTTGTCTAAATACGTGCGGATTAGTTTTCAAAGTTAACTAATGACTTAATATTCCATGCCTAGAAATGAGCAAAAAATGACAGATATTTAGTCAATATAAAAACCGTACAACAACTAACTTCTGAATCTTTCATCTATCATTACATGTCTTCGTGTCCACATCAGTCAATAAAATATAGGGATTTCCTTTTTATCATTGTCGAAAAGAAAAGAAAATAACAACTGATATGATATTCTCTTAAAATTATACTATTAAATGTATTTCTTATTTAAAAAAATCGAAAGTACTATTCCGATCTCAACTAGATTCCAAATTTAACTGCTATGTATACGGTGATGGTCAATTAGACTTCCTTCTTTGTTTGTTTTTTTGTATTATTCTTTATACTTCGTTTATTTTTAAACGTATTATACGCAGTATAAAAGTACGAAACGCGCTGCATCCTATGCTATAATGCACTTACCAGAATAATTAATGTTGAAAGAATAATAAACGCATGACAAAAAAACAAATTGCTTCTAGTGTGCGATGAAATGCGAGTGAAGATATAAAAATGTCGCCCTTACTAATCCAATCGATCGTGATCTAAATACACTCTGTATACATGAAATCAAATCTAAGATACGCATTACTGATTGCAGCTGAAACTGACCACAATCTTTATAATAATAGTAGCGAGAAATCTCTGACTAATAAATTAGGGGCATCTTGATCTGAGACTAAACTTTCAACGAAAGATCTGAGTAATTGATTCTTTATTTAGACACAGCGCACCTGTGCGAATATCCACATGACTAAAATATAGAATGGAAGCTGGAAGTGCATTCTTTTGTACAAATTAGTACATGAAAAAGAAATGTGGCATGACTTGAACTTAAGTCTGTTCCAATTTTCCATTGAGATACAGTCTTCGACTTATTTTAGAATGTCGCTTTATTTGTAGCTAGTCTTATATATATATGTAAACTGTGAGGTGATATACGTTGATACGAAACAAGCAAAAATAATTGGATAAGAGATCCGGTCAGTTCTCACTGTGGATCCTAGAAGAAAAAAAATTTTTGTGCGATACATTTTTTTTATCGTACAGACTTCATATTTTGTTCTAAGTAAATATATCATCACAGGGAGCGCGTTTTGCACTTTCCTCACTAAATACAATATGTTAAGAAATAAACAGACTATAGTAATAAAAAGGCAGAAACAAAACAACCGAGAAATTCAATCCACCTTCACAATATATATATTGAAACCTTTTTTAAGTGAACATCTATCAAAGCTGAACATTTTAAAAGTGCCAACTGTGTTTATATAAGAAAGATTTTACCTTATATATATAAATAACACTGCAATCGATCAATTAACTCATGAAATACAACTAATGTTTAATCTGTAAATATTGTTCTTATGACATCTGTGCATATTAATCATTTGATGAATACATGTGACATTATGATTATCGAAATGATAAATCGCACAAACAGAACATTCTTTTTCTGACTCATCGCATTGTTCCTCTGCTGGAAACAATTTTCGTCAGATGAAAGCCTATTCAATTGTAAAATAATGTAATTATTATGTTTACTAACACTATGAAGAACAAAATACCATAGTAAGAATAGTATTTGTTGTTTTGTTGTAGAATTGGAGCTGGTGTTGACTTTTAAACTTAATAATATAAATCTGACTAGCATAGAGATCATAATAAGAATTACCATGAACTCTTTTGTTCACGATTAGACCGTCAATAATCATGATTCTGTATCTCTCGTCATATTGACAATTGCGTAATCACAACCCGACTACTGAATATAATACTTCAACTTTTATACTTTTTTTACTTGAAAACTACCAGTGCTCAGTACATTTTTGTAGTACAACTACATTTACTTGTACTTTTTATTTGTACTTAAGTACGAATACTGACTACGAGTTAATTCAAGTACCGCGTACTTAGTACGATGTACTTAAATGTCGTAACGAATTAATCACTTTCATTTTTCAGTCGTTTTCATTTATCTACATGTATTTGATGAAATACTTCTCTAGAAATTTAATTTCTATGCAACCTGCTACCTATGGAGCACGTAACTTTTTTCAGCTTTTATTCAAACAAACCCTATAGAGATTTAGTTGTATTTCTCTTGGTTACTGTCCCTCCTCCCCCCTCAAAACAAAAATAATATTAACTAAAACAAATAAGTTGATCCCTGATCTTATGGTCATAGCAACGAAGTTATTCCCTCTTTGTTATACGCCAGTCTGTGCATAAAATACTTTCATTTTTCGAGCACGCTTACCTGTGCATTTCTATGCATAAGAATAATGTATGAAAACTAATTGTTCCAGATAATAGGTGCATATGTGTATATGATAGTTTAGTCATTTTAATCGAGAATCATATTTTTTTATTATAGATATCAGCATAGTGCAAAAATGAAAGGTAGCACAAATCTAAACATAAGGTACTACACTAGATATACAGCTACTAGAATAGGTCCTTAGTATATTGGTATTTAGTATTTTCATCTAACAGTACATCTGTACTTAACTAAATCGTACTCAAGTAAAAGTTCGACGTAAATTTCTTAAGTAAAAAATATTCGTACTCATACTGGTTATACTTGTACTTGTCAAGTCTCTGCACACAGTCAATAAAACTTCAATATTCAATATAGAATTCTTATATAATTTCTTCTGGTTGCTTATTCACTGTACTAAGCGAATTTTGACTTCCAAAATATGCATGAACACATAGGTCTGTATGCAATAAATTTGGCACAAAAGGATATATCTTTACATGTATACTGTGTAACAGAAATTTTCAACTCAATGAACAATTACCAGTAGTGTCGAACTTAAAACTTGAATTCAATTGAAATTTCAACTTTCAACTGAAATTTCAAATTTCAACTTTCAACTTTCAACTTGCAAGTCGTTTCGCGACGGCTCCTTTTCTGGGCACTCCTTTCACGGCACCCTCACCAGCTGCGATGTGATATAGGTCGTCTCGTGATCAGTCCTTTTCTGGCCAGTCCTTTCGCAGCACCCTCACCAGGTGCGATGTGATGTGTGTCGTATCGTGGCCAGTCCTTTTCTGGCCAGTCCTTTCGTCGCACTCTGACCAGGTGCGATGTGA